GTTTCACCATGTTGGCCAAGCTGGTCTCAACTCCTGACCTCAGGTGATCCACCCGCCTGGGCCTCCCAAAGTGCTCGGATTACAAACCTGAGCCAAAGCGCCCGGCCACCCTTTTTTTTTTTTTTGTACTCATATTATCTCTATGCTTTTGCTTTCTGAGTCTTTCTACTTCTGGGTGTGCCTAGACTAAAAGATAAAGTCCAGGCTCTTCAGTGTGCTGTTGCTCCATATGCTTTTCTAACTGAATCCTCCACCTTTTTACATCTTTTATGTAGGAGGAATTCATTACATTTCAAAAGATTTTTCAGGCCCAGCAGTTCTAGTACTTTATGTGCATCTTAAGCATTATTTTACATTCATCCAACTAGTGATTATTTTCTCCACAGTTGTTTATGCCCTATTTGAGCACTGTGAGCCACACCAGGCATGATGGAGACAAGGATGGTGGGAGTGTCATCCGGGGCTTCTCAAGACCTCTCTCCCAGTGGGTTTGATCCATTATTCTTTACCTACCCAGCACTGAGATTCTAGTTCTTGAGATTCCTTTTCAGAATGGTGTAAGGGGCCAGGCACAGTGGCTGACGACCATAATCCTAGTGCTTTGGGAGGCCTAAGCAGGAGGATTGTTTAAGGCTAGGAGTTCACAGCATCAAAGGGAGACCCTGTCTACAGAAAAATTTTAAAATTAGCTGAGCGTGGTGGTGGTGGCTCATTTCCTGTAATCTCAGCTATTTAAAAGGCTGAGGCAGCCTCATTTAAGCACAGGAGTTAAAGGTAAGAGGATTATTTGAGCACAGGAGTTCAGGCTGCAGTGAGCTGGGATCACGCCACTGTATTCCAGCCTGGGAGACAGAGTGAGATCCTATCTCAAAAAAAAAAAAAAAAAAAAAGGTATCTTGCACCCTCTTTTAATCTGTGATTGTAAAAAGCTTTATTGATATATAACTTGCATACCATATAATTCACGCAATAACTTGCATACCATATAATTCACGCAATGTGTACAATTCAGTGGTTTTAGCATATTCACAGAGTTGTATGGCCATGACCAAAATAAATTTTTTAGACCATTTTCACAGATGAATAAACAGAATTCGCAAACTGCTGCACCCCTGACTATATTATAAAACAAACTCCTTACAGGGGTTTTCAAAGCTATAGGACCATGTGATATAACTCCCTCCCACTTCTGCCATCTCCCAGCCTACTCTACCTCCACCCAAGCTGTGCTTTCCTCGGTTCCAGGAACGCGCCGAGCTTCAAGGCCTTTGCATATGCACATGCCCTGCTGTGTACCTGAAGTGCTCTTCCCGCGCACGGCCACAGGCCTGGGGGGCCTTCCGATTAAGTACCCCTCCTACGGTTCCGGATTCTACCCTGGCAGGACGACCCTAGTTCCTCGTACCTGGCGCGGCCGGACCTAGCGTCTGCCACTCAGTTGACCTCTGACCTGTTAGTCCCCGCCCCTGGAGCGCCGCATCCGGTAGCGAGAGTTCAACTTCCTGACTAGGAGCCAATCAGGGGGTCCGCCTCGCTGTCTACGACAGAGGGTGGGGGAAGACGCGCCGTTTCCGGTGGCAGGGTCTGGGGAAGGGGCGGCAGGCGCGATGTCCGGCCGCGAAGGTAAGTGTTGCGGGACGGTGAGGACTGTGAGGACTGCGGGGACGGCGGGGCGGGGACCGGGCGGCAGGGGCAGGCCGAACGTGTTCGTGTCGCCCACAGGTGGCAAGAAGAAGCCACTGAAACAGCCTAAGAAGCAGGCCAAGGAGATGGACGAGGTGAGGGCGGGCGCGGAGACACGGGCGGGTGCGGAGGGCCTGGGAAACAGGCCTGAGTTGAACCCCCTTTGCCTCTCCCCAGGAAGATAAGGCTTTCAAGCAGAAACAAAAAGAGGAGCAGAAGAAACTCGAGGAGCTAAAAGCGAAGGCCGCGGGGAAGGGGCCCTTGGGTAAGTGGGGGCTGAATGTAGCTCAAGCTGGCCAAACGCTATGAGCGTCTGTTGGGATGAGGGCGCGGACATGCTTTTTTCCTGCCTACTGAACTGCGAGGTCTCGTTTTCCGACGTCCGCTGTAGCGGATGGTCTTTAGCCAGTCTCGGATTTGCAGCAGCAGTAAGGGCCGGGAGCTGGAAACGAAGTCTCCTGCCTCCCAGGCAGTCTGGACTTCCATTCCTTAGGGAATGCAGAAACGGAAACATTGAAATGTATTTACCTCAGACGCAGATTCATACAGTTAAGTTTCTTAGTGTCTTCCGCAATCTCTTGCCCCAAATTCGTATTTTACTGCCTTCTTAGTGTTGGAACGTTACTTGACTTCGAAGTTTTTCTGTGTGTTTTTTGTTTTGTTTTGTTTTTTTGAGACAGAGGCTCACTCTGTCAAAAGCGCCTAATTATTTTTCGTATTTATTAGTAGAGACAGAGTATTACCACACATGTATGGACAAGCATGGGTCTCAACTCCTGACTTCCAGGTTGATCCACCCGCCTGGCCTCACCAAAGGTGGCATCGGATTACAAACCATGAGACCAAAGCGCCCGCCACCTTTTTTTTTTTTTTTTGTTACTCATATTATCTTCAATGCTTTTGCTTTCTGAGTCTCTTCTATTATCTGAGGTGTGCCATAGACTTAAAAAAGGATAAAAGTCCAGGACTCTTCAGTCGTTGTGTTAGCTCCCCCCATACTAGAGGGCCTTTTCTAACTGAATCCTCATCACCCTTTATATACATCTATTTATGATAGGACGGAATTCATTACATTTCAAAAAAGATTTTTCAGGCCCAGCAGTTCTATAAGTACTTTAATAGTGCATCTATAAGCTTAAAATTTATACATTCATCCAACTAGTGATTAATTTTTCTCCACAGTTGTTTATGCCCTCATTTGAGCACTGTGGAGCCACACCAGGATGATGGAGAACAAGGGAATGGTGGGAGTGTCATCCGGGGTTTTCTCAAGACTTCTCCTCCAGTGGTTTTGATCCAATTTACTTCTTTACCATTACCCAAGCCACTGAGATTCCTAAGTTCCTTGAGATTCCTTTTCAGAATGGGGTGTAAGGGGGCCAGGCCACAGTGGCTGACTACCATAATCCTAAGTGCTTTGGGAGGCCTAAGGCAGGAGGATTTGTTTTTAGGCCTAGGAAGTTCACCAGCATTCCAAAGGAGAGACCCCTTGTCCCTACAGAAATTTAAAATTAGCTGAGCCGTGGTGGTGGGTGGCTTCATTTTCCTGTAATCTCAGCTATTTAAAAGGATGAGGCAGCCCTCAATTTAAGCACAGGAGTTTAAAGGTAAGAGGATTATTGAGCACAGGATTCAAGGCTGGCCAGTGAGCTGGGATTCACGCACCACTCGGTATTTCCAGCCTGGGAAGACAGAGGTGAGAATCCTATCTCTAAAAAAAAAAACCCAAAAAAAAAGGTATCTTGCACCCTCTTTTAACTCTGTGATTGGTGTATTAGGGAAAAGATCAGCTCCTTAGTGTAACTCTATGCTAGTTTGCTTTGTATATGAAGCATCATCCTATTTTTTTTTTTTTAAGGTTTATTTTGTCAGGCTTTGGATCTTCTTTTCCTGTATTAGGCATATATAACCTACACTGTTTCTTTTTTTTTTTTTTTTTTTTGTTTAAGATGGGAGTCTCACTCTGGTCGCCCAGGCCCTGGATCGCAGTGGCGCGATTCATGTCACTGCACACTCCGCCTCCCCTGGTTCAAGTGGATTTCTCACTGCCTCAGCCCCTCACTGAGTAAGCTGGGAATTACAGGTGCACACCGCCATTCCTGAGCTACTTTTTGTATTTTTTGTTATGAAGAAGGAAAAAAGGAAGAAACAAACAAGAGAGAAGACAGAAGCAAAAGAACAGGGTTTATTCAACCATGCTTGGGCCCAGCGATGGTCTTTGATCCTCCTGACCATTGTGATCAATGCCGCCTCAGCCATTCACATAAAACGTAAA